ATGTATACACATTACGCCCACAGGAGCTTTCCTGACATCCCGTTCTAAATTCATAGGCATTAATATGGAGTCGGTCCCCCTTTGTAGCTATAACAGCGTCCACTCTTCTGGGAAGCTTTCTACAAGATGTTGGAATGTGTCCGTCGGAATTTGTGCCCATTCATTCAGAAGAGCATATGTGAGGTCAGACACTGATGTTGGACGAGAGGGCCTGGCTCACAATCTCCGTTCTAGTTCATCCCAAAGGTGTTCACTGTGAGGGCCAGTCAAGTTCTTCCATACCAAACTGACCCAGCCGAGCCTTTATGGAGCTGCTTTGTGCACTGGGGTTCAGTCATGCTGGAACAGAAAAGGTTCTTCCCCAAACTGTTCACACAAAGTTGGAAGCGTACAATTGTCCAAAGTGTCTTGGTCACTGGACCTAAGTGTTCTAGACCAACCCCTGAAAAACAACCCCATATCATCATCCCTCCTCCACCAAACTTGGCCAGTTGGCACAGTGCAGTCAGGTAGGTAACGTTCTCCTGGCACTCGCCAAACACAGACTCGTCCATCAGACTGACAGATAGAGAAGCTGATTCATCACTCCACAGAATACGCCACCACTGCTCCAGAGTCCAGTGGTGGCGTATATATACATGTGTGTGTGTGTGTGTGTATATATATATATATATATATATATGTATATATATGGGTCATTCTTTTCTATCTCTCCATAGGAGTCACTGGTGTTACCGATCCTCATTGGTGTTACACATAATAAAGGAACACCAGAGACGTTTTTAATGAACAATGCATTTTACAAAATGGCTGCTACAGAACATCAAACTACATGTCAATCATGGAATATCCACTAAAATATGTAATTTAACCCATTTGTATTCTATTTTTCCACAATTATCTAAGAATAAAGTCGGTCACACCAGTGACTTCAGCTAAAAGCCTCATATGAAATCATGAGCTAAATGAGAAAATCTCTATTAACTGAAAAGACACAGTGGATTCACCTTGTGCTCTTCTATAGGTAATAGGTAAAAGGAAGTGAAGTGATGTCATCAGTCTGATTTTTATTTCAAAATAAGAGATTTTTTGTTACACAGTAACACCAGTGACATGACTCCTGGGGACAACTTTCATTATATATTTTATGATATTTATTTGGCATTTGCTTATTTTGGTAGTGACCAAGTGGAATGTTCAAACATTTATTTAATAGAAAAAAAAAAAAAGCTATGTGGTCACTCAAAGCAAAGGGATTTTAGTCTAAAGTCTGAAATGTGTTTAGTGTTACAGTCATATGCAAAGGTTTAAACACTCCCAAACTGATATATGGCATTTTCTGCACAGTTTCTATTTATTTACTAAGTTCACCATAGTGGAAAAAATAAAAAAGAAAATATAAAATGTGCCATAGGTTTGGCCAGTCCACATTTCATGTGTTATGTTCAGCAAATAAGCAGTAATTATGCATCAAAAATCAAAGCTCATAACTTATTTTCACTGCGAAAATCAACAACCCGTCATTCTACCAGGAGTGCTCAAACTTTTGCGTGCGACTACACCTTATATAGTATATATGAAGAGTTTTAAAAGTTAGCAATGGTGACGTTGTTCCTCGTGTAGCCCCACATCTGCTGCCTGCAAATCGTTTACTGTCCACTAGATGGCGGTCAAAGCAAATAAGTCCTATTCTGCGTAAAAACATGTATTTCTCCATATGAAACTACAAATCAATCTTTAAACCCCTTCTAATCTTCAATTTAAACTCATTTTAATCTTTAAGCTCCTTCTAATCTTGCAGACCAAGATCTCAGCTCTAAAGAAAAGATCTACTGCTAGATGTTTGATCTTGCTGGTGAGTCTTTTGGACAAAAACATAAACTGAGCATATTTCTCATTGTATAACATCATAAGACTTTTGATAGGATTTGCTTCATGTGGTCGAAGTGAACTGCCTCCATCTGTCTGTACTGGAGTTCAGCTCCTCCGGTGATGGATCTCTAAGGAAATGGGCCTTAATGCTTAATGATTTTACGCCCATTAACTCCATGTTTGCGGACAGTAGAAGCCGCTGGGTGGCGCTGCTCGCCTGCAAAGACTCCTCAAAAGACCGTTTTTCACTCAATTAGTCTTTTAGCCGTGAAAGCCCATCAATACTGAGGAAAAATGGGAGTCTGTTAAAAACACTGAGGAAAAAGAAACTCGCTTTTCTGAGCATTTCTGCTCTGACCTCTGACTTGCTTGGACGTACTGTACACTCTTTAAAAGACGGTTCTTCAAGTGTTCTTTAGTAAAGATATGGGTCGTATATCCAGTGGTGCTTGAAAGTTTGTGAACCCTTTAGAATTTTCAAAAATCCTGCATATATTTGACCTAAAACCTCATCAGATTTTCAGTCCTAAAAGTAGATAAAGAGAACCAAATTAAACAAACGAGACCAAAAATATTAGATTTGGTGATTTATTTATTGAGGAAAATGGTCCAATATTATATATCAGTAAGTGGCAAAAGTATGTGAACCCCTTTAGGATTAAATGAGACTCAGGTGTTTCAATTAATGGGATGGCAATCATACGTTTTAGGTCAAATTTGTGCAGAAATGTAGAAAATTCTAAATGGTTCACAAACTTTCAAGCACCACTGTAGAACCATGAACACTCAAAGAAGAATTTGCATACTTAAATGGTTCTGTGCATGGTGAAATGGTTCTTCATTCTGATGGAGAATGTGTTGTATATGGTTCTATATTGCAAAGGGTTCTTCTATTGTTACAATGTCAAGCTTGTAACAATAAAATAAGAAGGCTTTTTGGTGCTATATAGAACCATTTTCAAAAGGGTTTTATATAGAACCATTTATAACACATTATCCATCAATCTGAAGATCCACTCCACCATGCAAGGAACCATTTAAAGATGAAAATGATTCTTTGTGTGTTGATGGTCCTATATATGACCGTTGTCTTTACTAAGGAACCCATGAAGAACCATCTTTTTTAAGAGTGTATCTATTTAGCTATGTTAGATGTGCTGAGTTCTGCACTGTGCAGACAGCTGTCAAACAATCAGAACCAATAAAATCAATACATATTATTTAGACTCCCTACCGATATAAATATTATATACACGGTCGTATGCAAATATTCAGACACCTCTGGTCCAATTACGTGCTTTATTGTTTGATTTTGCACCAAAAGCAGCAGAGAAATGCCGTATTTCCATTTGTTGCCTGTAGAGGATGTGTTCATTTATTTTCCCTTTGCTGGGAGTGTTTTAAAAAAGACAGGGCCAGTGTTGATTGAATTTACTGGACCTGACCTCTGCTCACAGTGACAGTGAAAGGGACTGAATGGACGAGCGCGTGCTGTATATAAAGCTGAGCGTGCTGCATACAAGAGGAGGTAATACAGACTGGCGAGCCATGTAAATAAACACGGCTCTGGTTCTGGGTCAGAGACGTGAAGGAGAAGATCAGGAGCCTCTCAGTCATTCAGGAGCTCTGAGTCGGGCAGTGTGTGACGAACTGGAGCAGGTTGTGAGATGTGTGTGTGTGTGTGTTGGGAACGTATGTCAGCTATGTGAATAACGCAGATGGAGAGTGTTTTGAATTCTTGTCAAATAAAACGTAAAACCCGTGAGAGTGATTTGGCGCCGTGAGGGAGGTTTAACAGCTCAGTGGCTTCTGCAGCTTATGGAGCAGAATGATTAACCTGTACATAATCTGTTAGACTAGTCACACATGTATACACACACACACACACACACACACACACACACACACACACACACACACATATATATATATATATATATATATATATATATATATATATGTGTGTGTGTGTGTGTAATCATATTCAAAATACATTTTAAACTCTAACTATATTCTATGTATATTTGATATATTTTTAAATTACATTATAAATTCTATTTTATATATACTTAGTTTTTTTTCTATATTTTGAAATTTGTATTGTATTTATATTTGTATTATTTATATTAATTCAGAGAGCATCTAACAAACAAACAAACATCAAATATTCCAAATGTAAAAAAAAACAAAAAAACGTAAAAAGTAAAATGTAGATTGTAAAACGCAAACAATGTACGAAATTTGACCAGAGCCCATGTTTTCTGGAGGATTGTTTTTTTTTTAAGCAATTTTATAATTATTTACTTTGCTGTACGTTTTGTCTTACATGTGGGTCAACAGACATCTTCCTCTGAAAGGTTTTATTTTAAGGGGCTTCGTTTTTTAGTGCGTTCTGCCTGAAATGTGCAGTGAGGAATCTTCTACAAAAGCGGAAAGAACCGTTTTAATTACTGATTTTTAAAAGTCAATACTGTCTAAAATCGTGATTCACCTTTAGTGATTAATTAAGATAAACACGCAAACAAATAAATCAACAAACTGATTATCTTTGCCTTTAATATTATGAGCTTTAAGAGATGAAGTGCACGCGTCTTTCAGTGTTTTCCAACAAGTAAATGTTTAAGGACCAGTATTGATGAAACAGATTGAGTGATATTAATAACGTTATAAAAAAACGTTATTAGAATTATTATGTCAGGTGTAATGTAAATCGGAATCATGTAAAAATAATGTTGAATCAGTTTCCATCAAAAGTTTAAAATGTTCAAAATAACTTTTTGAAGACGAAAACAAATCAGCGCAGCCGCTGCGTTATTTATTTACGACCCGTTTTCGGGTCAGCCCCGCCCTCCTGAGCTCGGATTGGCTAGCAAGGTTCGCAGTTACAGAACTCCAAAGCCCCGCCCCTCAACACTGGGATTGGCTAGTAGCTCATGCTCATAATACGGTGGTGCGTTACAGAATGGCGGAAGCCCGCGAGTACGAACTATTAACCAATCCGAGTGCAGGAGGGCGGGGCTTAGCCGGAAAACGGGTGGGAAAAAAACAAAAACCTGCTAAAGTTTCCGCCGCTCCCGATTACTGGTTACTGACGCGGTCAGTCATGTGACGTGGGGCGGTGAGGATAAATAGAGGGGACATAGTCTGGGGGCAGCTGCACGCGCTGCTAACAAATCCTCAAGATAAAATAAATAAAAGATAATAAACATGAAAGCAAAGGTTGAATCGAGGTAAAAATCCGGCCAAAAAACAAAATAAAGAGTTTATGGTGCACGAGGACGTCGCGTGCGAGTTTTAAAAAGTTTATATTTACATTCTCCTGCAATGCTGCGTAGCTCTGCGTCTCTGGGATGAAGTTTTAAATTTAGTTTTTAGTCTGTTTGTTTTGCACTACAGAGAGAGAAAAGCAGCAGCTGTTGAAAGAAAGTCGCCGAGTGGGAGAGTGAGTGCGGTGGGGGTGGCTGGGGTAGGGGGGTGGGAGGGAGGGTAGCAAGGAGTGGGGCCAAAACCTACACTCGCGCTAGAGAGGCTGGACACGGAGCGCGAGAGCGGGCGAAGAAGAGACTGTCCGAGGATGACTCTGGGCACGGACGCGTCCGACGGCTCGGCGCCGTCCGCGGACGACGTGGAGGACATCGACGTGGTTGGCGGCGACGTGGCGACGACGCAGGACGGGAGGTACGCGCCGCGCCTCGCGCCTTTCCGAACGGACTCGGAGGTGGACGACGACGACGACGACGATGACCCGGACGACGCGTCCAGGCTCGCGGCGGCCGCCAAAGACGGCAGCGGCGAGAGCGTCGTGGTCGTTGGTGGCGCGGAAAGTCCGGGCGAGTCCGTGGCCGCCGCCGCCACCGACAAGGCGTCCAAGAACGCGCTGGTGAAGCCGCCGTACTCGTACATCGCGCTGATCACCATGGCCATCCTGCAGAGCCCCAAGAAGCGGCTCACGCTCAGCGAGATCTGCGAATTCATCAGCGGCCGCTTCCCGTACTACCGCGAGAAGTTCCCCGCGTGGCAGAACTCCATCCGCCACAACCTCTCCCTCAACGACTGCTTCGTGAAGATCCCGCGCGAGCCGGGCAACCCCGGCAAAGGCAACTACTGGACGCTGGACCCGGAGTCCGCGGACATGTTCGACAACGGCAGCTTCCTGCGGCGGCGCAAGCGCTTCAAGCGCCACCAGGGCGGCGACATCCTGCGGGACACCGGAGGCTTCCTCCCGGGATTTTACCCCCCCTACGGCTACGGCTACGGCCTCCAGCTGCAAGCCCTGCACGTGCCCCACCACCACCACCATCACCATCACCACCCGTACCATCCCGCCCACACTGGGGCAACGTTTCCGTTCCAAAACGCACCGTGCGCCCTCGCCAGTCCGCCCTCCGTTTTCCCGCCGCCGCCGCCGCCCCCTCCGTCGTCTTCGTCGTCCCTGTTGGGGGCAGATCCGCGGAAGCCCTTCTACCCGGACACGGGGCTGGTGGCGCGAGCGCACAAGCTGGACATGAACTCCAACTCCAGCGCCAACGGGACCGGGAGCGCGCCCGGGCGCCCTTCACCCTTCACCATAGACAACATCATAGGCGCCGCGCCCGCGCCCGCCTACAGCCCTAACGCTGCGGCGCACGTGCTGGCCGTGATCGCGCCCTCGCTCGCGCCGCCGCCTCCGCCGCCGCCGTCAACCCTGCGAGCTCAGACTTTCTCCAGCAAGAACCTGAACGGCTGCCACTTCTGACTGGACTTGAACTTGAACCAGCCGTTTTTTGTTTGTTTGTTTTTTTATTTTAGAAAAAAAGCAAAACGCATTTCATAAGGTAGGATTGACATTTTGTGCTTTTTATTTTGGGAAACTAAAGGTCTCACTCAAGTTTTTTGGGGGTAAATTTGACACGCAGTAAGGGTGGATTCAGGTAATATGGGACATTAAATAATGCAGTGAAAATATTTCTGTTTTCTTACTTTTCCCTTTTTGGTAAATGCATTCAGATTCCTCAGTTTAAATCGGATCCAGTATAATCCGGGTTCGTGTCACTTTAATAGAATCAACACTGCTAGGTTTATTTACATTTCAAACGAAAAATAATTTGTAACTAATTGTAACTAATTAATTGTAAAAAGAATTTTTACAGCAAACTCGAGATTTAAAAAAAAAGGGGAAAAAAAAAACACACTTCACAGGGGAATTCCACCCATTTTTCAAAATTTCCTCGCAGTACAATTATTAGATGCCAACATTCATTCAGACTGCTTTGATGTGAAATGGTTCATTATAGAGAAACTTACAGACTCAGACTTTTACAGTGGTGGTGATAGGAAGCAGGGGTCACCATGACTACAGCACAAAGTCATATAGCCATTTTATTTACCATCCAAACCCACCAGTGAACCTGCACGTGTCTTCTGAGTGTTTGTATGGAAGACTGATGATGGTAAAATAGTCGTGAAAGGGGGGAAAGGTTTTCTTAGGGGGACTATTTTGCCTTAAAACACCCTGCATGTATCCTTACACCTTTTTAAAAATACACTCCAGGCCAAAAAATCATGTCACAAATCAGTTCACACAGCAACTTTGTGTGAGGGATCTTCTAGAGGTGGACGTCTGGTTCCTATCACCACCGCTGTGAACCATTCCAGATAAGTTTCTTTAGAACAGAGCATTTCACACCAAACCACTCTGAACGACTCTGTTTACATCTGAACTATTTAACTATTAAAAAAAATGGAAGTGGAGTTACCTTCACACTTATCTACACGAGCAAATGAAATCCTGTAAAAAGCAGCATTCAGTTATTTTTATCAGTAAATTGAACAGATTCTTTGTGGGAAATTGAATGAAAGAATTTCGCAATCAATGTGAGATTGAAAATTGATGTCCGTATTATATCTGAATCCACCCCAGGAATAATTCTATTTATGAACTGTAAATATGTACAATAGAAGCATCGTGAAGGCAGAAAGATCATTTAAAAAGCAGCTTGAGGTTAAGAGGTTGAGATTTCACCCTTTTTCACCTTTTTTCCTCCTAAATCTACTTTTTGAGTAGAAAATGAAAATGTTCATTCATTTCGCTCGTTGTGCTCGAATCCCTGTCCGTGGGCTTCAATGAAGATTGTCATTTGCTATTTTAATGGTTTATAAATATATATGTATGTATGTATGTATGTATGTATGTAGGTGAGGGAATTTGTGAAAAGCACTGTTAATAATAATAATAATAATAATAATAATAATACCGAGAGCGAAAACTCAGGTCGAACTCGTTTCTTTGGAGAAGCACATGGCTGGAGAGACAGTGGGGTTGTAAATAGATCACACAGGCTGAATTCCCACTCCCCTCCCTAACGAAGTGGTCGTGGTCGTGAACTTAGAGTTATTTTTCAAATCTTATTTTATTATTATTATTTTCGTCCGTAGACGATTATGTGGCGTTGGTGTAAATCGCATTACCTCTCATTCTGTTTTTGTTTTTGTTTCCCTTGTGCATAAGGTCTTATTATTATTATTATTATTTACAATGAAAATAATCTGTGAAGAGGATGTTGTTCTATGTGTAAAGACGGATGAAGCTCGTCATGTCTATAGGTCATTTTGTTGTAATGATAAGAAAATAAATGTTTTGTGAATTTTAAAGGTACTCTTTTTTGGGGTGTGCGTTCTTTACGCCAGGAACATGAAATAGAACACAATAGGGCCGCATATTAATCTACAGATTTTTTTGTTTTTTTTTGCATCAATCCAGCCTCTTTTTTTTAACCTCAACCTGTTTTCAGAGCTTCTATGCTGGTGTGGAGGCGGGGGGGGTCTCAGGTGCACTGTGCTGAACTTGCTTCACGTTAAATACTGATGTGAGACCCCATAAACAGACTCGTATCCTGTCATTTCCCTCATTTCTGAATGCACTGACTTTAAATGCACTCATATAAGTTAACATTGTCCCTTAAAGGGGAATTCCACCAATTTTTTTCAAAATTTAAGCCTAATTCAGTCTTTGTAAACAAAGTCGTTCAGGGTGCTTTGATGTGAAATAGTGCATTGTAGAGAAGCTGATCCACTCTATAGATAGAGTTTGTTTACGTCTATTGGATTATATAAATTTTGACAATTCGGCGAAATTCCCCTTTTACAGCTAAACACACTCAAGTGAATTATGCCTCGAGCTGCCTTTACCTGTTTTAGCCATGACACCTGAGGCAATAAACACAGAAGACACAGAAAAAGCAAGCTATGGAGACTCAAAGGAGCCAAGGCTGTCCTTTCCCCACAATGCCTTTCGGTGAACTAAACTGGACTTCACAGTTTGGACAGTCAGTTAGGCCTAATTGCGATGCTTTACTTGTATTTATTTATATATATATATATATCCCCAAATCATCTCGTTTTTTGCATCTATTGGTCTTACTATTAAATTTTATTAAGATTAATTCAATTAATATTAATTCATCCTATATGAGATTTACACTCCTACTAACACTATTCTGTATTATAATACTGTATTTCTAAGTGTTCTAATTCTTAATCTCTTAGCAAAAGGGTTCTATGTGGTGTCAAAAAGGGTTCTAGGCGGAACCATTTGTTAAAAGGTTCCCTGAAGAACCGTACACAATGAATCATGAAAAGAAGCATTTAAATGGTACAGAATATCGTTAAATATTGCTTTTCTAAAGATTTCCTTAAATTACCAAAGAACCCTTGAAGAACCGAGGGAGTATCGATCAGCGTCGCTATAAAATAGACCTTTTTAAACTTAGATTCCCCAATCAGGTTTTAGACCAGATTAATGGGTCACGGCCGGAGTTCAACATCAAAGCGCAGTTTGCTTATTTTTCAGAACAGAAAATCGTATTTTAGTGATGTCTGCTGGAGGCCTGTCGTTGCTCAGGCTAGGATGTAAACAGCAGTGCTGAAGTAAATAAGCAGCAGACCGGGCCTGTCCGCGCTCTCGCGAGCCGCGAGCCTCGCCGGGCTCTGATCCTGTGTGGCATCGGGAGCCACGATAATTGAGTAGTTTCTGGCAAATGACAAAGAGCGCAAATGAAAGGGGACATCGGGGTTTCTGAAAAGCCTGTAATTGAATGTGAGGCTTCTACATGGCTACCCACCATCTCTCGGGGATCCTAATTTGTAGTAGCAGTTTTATTTTCTTTTTCTCATCTGGAATCTAATCCACGATAATGCGCCGCTTTCTTTTCTGGCTGCCCGTTTGTTGATGTTGTTGCTGAAGACTTTGTCCCTTTGGGCCTGAATGAGCTGCACAGTCAGACAGATCCCCCCCAGCGAGCGCGAGCCACACACACACACATGCACGTATACACACATGCACGCTTTCTATGCTTCTTAAAAGACTCTCGGCTCCTCTTTCTTCTCCGGCGCGTTGTGTTTCTGAACATGTGCAAAAAGAGGCAAAACAGCAGAAGCGCGAGTCCATTCGAGGCTCGCCCGAGCGCGCGGTTGGGTGGAAGGCCTTTCTTAAACGGCTAAATTTGCTCGGCGGGGTGTTTTTGACAGCTTATTATTAGGAGTGAAAGGAGGGGGCTGCGCGCGCTCCCGCGAGCTCCTTCTCTCCCTCTCGGAGCCACTGAAGCGAACACGCACGGGTTTGTTGGGAACCTTAATGGAGTTTGTTGGCTCACAGGCTTATTGGCAGAATTAGCATCAGAAAAAGGAAATAACTCGGAAAAATGTGCGGACAAAACTTTCAGGATGTTATTATGAATTTAGAACGATTCGCAGCGGATTTTTATTGTTCGATTATTTATTTATTTTTGAAAATATCTAGATTATAGATCATTGATCATTTCAAATTTTCTTTTAAATCTTCTTCTTCTTATTTTTATCAGTTACAGTATCCAGCTGGATGTCTGTATATAACGTGTTGTGCACTGTTATTCATGTTTTTATTAGATTTTTCTGTTCTATTCTATTCTATTCTATTCTATTAACAAACCATCATCAATACGTGCAGAAGGGAAACGAGGTTGAAAACCAGATATTATTATTATTATTATTACTACACTGTATAAAACGGCTCGTCAGATCAACCTAAAAAAAATGTAATATGGTAACAAGCAATTAAAACTAATTTTATTCAACAAAAAAAAAATTGGAAATTATTGAAAGAATCGTTCATTCAAAGTATTAATTTAGGTTGAATAAAACTAATTAATTTACTTTTTTTAGCACAATAATTAATTTTCTAGGTTGATCTGACGAGCTATTTTTACAGTGTGTTATTATTATTATTATTATTATTATTATTATTGCTGTTGTTGTTGTCGCCATGTTTAATTTTGTTCCATATTGCTCATAGTTGTAATGTATAAAATTGCTTAAGATATTAGGAGCTGTTAAAATGATCTTTAATTAATTGTTGTATATATTATCAATGCTTACTAATTATTATTATTATTATTATTATTATTATTATTATTATTATTATTATTATGAATATTATTATTATTATTATTATTATTATTATTATTATTGTGGATGAAGTGGTCTTTATAATGTTGTTTCAGTTTGACCCCAGTCCTCTTAGCAGAGGTCATGTGTGTCAGTCAGAAAGCGTGAAAGGAAAGCTCGTGCGGGCTGGAGGTGGCGCGAGGTCAACGCAGAATCGCTCTGTGATTTTGATCTTTAAACGCAGCTAAAAGGTAAAGCCGTTATTTCAGACTGACATCATATATCAAATATCATATACAGTCTATATGATGATATGATGATGGACCTGAGCTACAGGTTGGGGATAAAAGTCGAGTGAGGGTTGAGCGACGCCTTCGAACCACCTCCAGCCTCTCCTCTCTGCTGTTAGGCCGCCGCTGGCTTTAGTTTGGGCGGCTTTCCGGCAGAAGAGGAGTCTGGTTCTCTCCTCCGGGGCGCTGGGTCTGCTTCTCCATGAGAAACCTCCTCTCTGCCTTCTAATCGAATCGATAGTGTTAAATCATGGGTTACATGGCAAAGGCTAACAGCCCTAAGTCCCTCTAATTACCCTCAGCTTTCAGCTTTCATTTTTTCCTGCCCCATGTGGTGTGTTGGTTACACCGTGCCGGACCACCCATGTAGCCCACGGCACATCACCACTTCTGCTCTCGCGCTGTGTCGTTTCAAAGCGAATGCATGTTAAAGAGCGACTCCTAAACCCGCTGCAGTGTCGCGTTTTCTCTTCCTTCTGCTTGAATTGCTCACACGTTTATATTTTCCCGCGTGCTTTCCTCTCTGTTCACCTCTGCTGCACCGAGCGCGTGCTTTCAGCCTCTGTTTGGCCTCCTACTTATTTGTATTTTTTCCATACAGGCGTTTATTTGGAGCGTCTAATTTTAGGATAATGGCTGTAGACAGTTTTAGCAGATTAGCGCGAGCTGCTTCACGTGCTCAGATTTGGGGAAGCTGATACACTCCTGTAGATTCAGGAGAGACAGAAACCCCCCGTTTCAGTGAGACCGTCTTGGAGTGCCACTCGCTGTGGGCGAGTCTAATGTTGTTTCACCCCAAAACAACGTATTAAATATTGAATTAGTGAGTGCACGAGCGGTGAGAGATTAATCTATCACACTGGATCCGTCCGGATTACAGATGTAAATCTGGGAAGTGATGCTGGCAGACCGGCCCAAACCTCATAATAATCACAATAATAATAATAGCGCCACGTTCACCGACCATAGGACAATATTTATACATTTACTTACGCACATCTTCTTTCTATTTGCTCTTCCTAACCACCACCACCACCACCACCATCATCATCATCATCATCATCATCATTATTATTATTATTAGGATTAATACTAGAAGCAATTGTTGCATTATATTTCTTTCTAAAATTAATAAGAAAATCAAAACCAATTTTTAACAGGATTTTAAACAGGCAGTATTAAAGTACATAAAGGAAAATAACAGATTTATAACCGGACTTGAACCGGTTTAAAATCGATTATTAATCCAGTTTATTTCCCAAATGTGAAGCTAAACAGCGAGTAATTAATTCTATTACAGAATAATTTTTATATAATTCTCCTCCTGTTATTATTATTATTATTATTATTATTATTATTATTACTGCTAGTAATAAGAGTAGTGTTGTTGCTGTTGTTTTCAAACAACATCAGCAATAATAATAATAATAATAATAATAATAATAATAATACTTACACTTAATAGTAATTACCCTTTCTAGTAATACTAGTTAAAGGAGAATTACACCAATTGTAAACAAAGATGTAAACAAAGTCATTCAGAGTGGTTTGATGTGAAACGTACTGGCTGATTTCTTTACAGTGGTGATGATGGGAACCAGAGGTCACAAAGCAAATAAACGTTTTATTCACTATCCTAAACCACTAGTTTTGAATATCTATGAAGCCGTTAAACTCTTCAGACGTCTGGTTCCTATCACCACCACTGTAAACACCTCAGACTCGGTAAGTTTCTCTAGAACAGAGCGTTTCACCCCAAACCACTCTGAATCACTCTGTTTACATCTTAACCACTTAATCACGCAGACATTTTGAGAAATCGGTGGAACGTCCCTTTAAGGTCTTATCATAAGGTCATCGCTATTTTTTTTAAACTCTTTTTAAAGGTAGGTATTTAGAAAGTTAGACTGTCGGTAACGCGGACGTCACCACCGCACCTGA